TACATGGGACGAAACTCACCTTATAAAGGTCCTAGGTTTATATAGTAGAGATGTTGTTAAGATATCGTAAACAATTCCAAGGTCAATGTATTTAACATATTGATTGCGACCCATTTAGATACATTTTATTTCTCTAGCATTACTCTTTAAACTGAAATTAGTTTTATTTTCCTTCCCATGCATGCAGCTTACCAATTTCTAATACAGAAAATGTGAAATAATTGTAATAGCAATAATGTTAAAAACAACCATGGCAAAATTTAGACAAACTACGCTTGTAATTCAACAATTACGCATGCACTTGTATCAATTTATTATCCATGTGAATGAAGGGACTCTTTATTTAACGCATTTTCAAGAATTATTCTTGACTTGGAATTGTTTTTGTTGTATTTTTTTCAATTCACGTTTCTACGAGGTTTGCTTTTTTGTTTTCACTCGCTTGCAAACTTGTCATTTATAAAACTAAATAATGTCATCTTGACATTTTGCGAAACGTATGAACAACTTTATAAGGAAGCGGTTAAACAGAACTACATACAGGACTATGGAAAACATGCTTTAATCTTTTTACTATAACAACAACAACACATTTGAGCCGCGTCATGACAAAACCAACATAGTGCGTTTGCGATCAGCATGGATCCAGACCAGCCTGATCCATACTGTTCGCTTACCAACTCTATTACAAGTAGAGAAACTGATAGCGAACAGCATGGATCCTGATAAGACTGCGCGGATGCGGAGGCTGGTCTGGATCCATGCTGGTCGCAAACCCATTATGTTGGTTTTGTCGTGACGCGGCTCATTTTACGTTTTCTTCTTTAAACACTTCGCAATAACGTTCTTGTAGATTTGCTTCTTATAAAGTGTAAAAACAATAAATGTACAATAAGGAAAAAGTCAAATACAATAGGCACAAGATTGATACAAAGTTTTTACTTTAAAGATTTACTACACAATTACCTCATGACTCAGGTGTTTATTTGTATTTTTAGCATATTAAGTGACATCATGACCATCCAAGTATACTCGTATAACCAGCTTGAGACACGAATGTCTGCAGATATTTTACGGTGTTTATCATTAGCACTTGAGTGATGAATTTTTTTATATTTAGATATTTTTAATTGTACTATAAGTTTTCAAAAATGTTCTTATTACCAATTATTGGTCAAATATTATACAATAGAAAAAAAATCTTTACAATTAGCTTCACTTGACAAAGGAAATGTCCACAGTGTCAATTTAAATTATATTTGTCCAGTTTGTCTATGAAATATACATGAATTCAAATAATTAAAACAGCACTGAAGAAAAAATTAACACAAAAAAACACACAAAGATTTGCACTTTTAAATCCAAAGAAGAGATAACGAGCTTAATGCGTAAGAATGCATCAATCAGGCAGCGAAATCGCATCTTAAATTCTCTTAAATGCCAAATCAGCAATGTAAAATTGCTACATTTCTTTGCATTGTAATGTGCCATTAGCATTGTGTCATCCATTTAAGTTGTACAGTATCAGGTCAATACGCAATTTGTCATTGCACGTTAAACTAAGTGTTCTATTCAAAAAAGATGACAAGATTTACTCGTAAATTACAGGGAAAAACTAATTTGTCGAGTGATTGATTCTCGCAAACTTTTTATACCAGCTGATTCTTAATGAAATGATTAAATGGAAATAATTCCGTATCTTTTAAAGTAACACAATCTATTTTAAAAGCGTGATCGCAGGAAAGCATTAAAGCATGTTTACGAAGTAATTTTTAAGAACGAGAGCGTTAATAATTAGAATTGAATATTTCAGTAAACTTGTTTATGGGAATAGTTTTAAATTCGAAATCCATAAATTTTAATCGAGCGATAGTATGATTATGGTGAAAATACAAAGTCATGATAATGACATGGATACATTTATGATAAGGACAGGATTAACCGTATTAAAGTGAAACATAGTTACAAATAAAAACCGAAGTGATTGCAATTGGTCAGTCTTGTTTCTCAATTCAATGATTGTCATTTTCATGTTAAAATGTTGAATTCCGCTCAAACCAGTAATAAAGGTTGAGAGGGTGGGGGCGGAAGTTTCATTTGCTAGTACCGTTAATATACGGGCTCAATCAAATCTATTCTGAAACATATTCAAATTGAAGTTTTGGGCGATCGTTACGGTTTCCACTTTTTACCGTTTTTGACAAATAAGATTGCATACACTAGTCATCAATAAGTGATGCATTTTTGTCGAAATATAATGCAAAGGAAAAAAAAGCTTACACAACTAAATTGGTCATCACGCACTGTTCTTGTTCAGTAAGGAGACCGTCGTATTTATAATCCAGGAGTACATGTAGATGGTTCGATCCTCGAGAGAGGCAAACTTCTCTCGGACAATGAGTGAAATGCTCAATTGTTAATCACTGCTAATTCTGGAATCACGCGGGGTAAATACTACGTCACTTGCGCAGAAATTGTTTATAACTGGTAAGCTATCCGGAAATGATGGCTAAATAGATGATCGCCGAAATATAACTAAAATGTATTAAAAGCGACGTAAAAACAATCACACAAATATCGAAGAATGCATGCTTACAAAAATATCTAATATGAAATTGAAGGAATTCCTTTTTTTTTTTACTTTTTATAATCACATATATCGGCGTGGTGTCCAATATTGAATCGATAAATATAATTGAGTAACTGTAGTGTACCATGATATTTTAAGACAAAAAATACTTTTGACATGAAACATTATTTTTCGGTAAAAAGATATGAGGTTGATTATTAGAATACATAAAGTAATTGATGCAGTTAATGATAACCTTACTGTAGAAGGACAATCTATTCATGGTCATTATTTCGTTAAAGAAAGCATTTTTCCGATGAGTTGTTTTCTTTATATTCATTAAAGACGGAATATCAGCAAAAATGTAATGAATTATTTAACAAGTCTCTATAACGAGTTTGTATCTTGCAAGATCGTGCGCAATAATCCTTAATTGACAGACAATTTTGAAAATAACATGATTATAGTTGTTTTAATATCATGCATTAATATCGCTGATTATTGATGCAAATGGGTTTTTCCTGTTTTACTACCTTTACATTGAAAAGCCCAGCTAACAGTACTGTAAAAGTAAAACGTTAACCATTGTCTTTACCATAAAACATTCCCCAAGCCAGAACATAAATGTAGATTTGGAAATAACGTGCCGCATAATGATTGATCCGTCTGTTAAACCTCTGATATTAAAGCAGACGTTATCAATCGAGACTTAAAGCGTCTCGATAGTAAATATTCAGAATTATATGTGTACGCAGAAGATAAATATTTCTATAGCGGTCTGTCTTAAGCATACAGATATTAACTTTCTGCCGTCTTTTATGAAGCAATCCTTCAAGTGTCATGGTATAAAATGTCGCTTGCATCAATAAGCTGCAAGTATACCGCGTGGTATTATTCAGAGTACATTCCGAAATGTCATTGAAATTCGTCTCTCATACTACGATACTCGTAAAAAATTCTTAGAAGCAAATGTACGTATGTAATAAAGACGGGAAAATGATTCATGGTATATTAACTTCACCACGATCACGTTACAAAGGTTTTGCAACAGAAACCCCTTCATAATGCGCATTTTCTGAATGTTATGAATTTGTATGCTATGAATTTATAGGGTTTAAACACGATACATTTGGCTGATTCTACGAAAGACCGAAATGTCACGAAATTCACGGTGTGAATTACACGAATTCACGGTTCTCAACATTTTCATTCATGAATTTATTGTTTGAATTTCATGAATTCACAATTTTATCTTTAAAATAAATTTTAATATATTCAACATGTAAATTCATACAGCTGAATTCGTGAAGCTAAAATTGTAATTTCGTTAAGTTGAAATCATCAATTTATTCATGAAGTTGAAATTGTTAATTCATAAACTTTAAGTTAAAATCGTGAATTTATGCAGTCAATTTGTTGAAATCACGGTTTCCGTGAAGTTAAAATAATGAATTTGTGATGTCGAATAGATGAATAACTTAGTTTAAATATCCCCCCGCCTTTTCATAGACTTTATTGTCAATAGTGCATGTAGATCTTCTATTAATATTTTAGCGGACAATAAGCAAATACTGTAACACCTGTTAAAGTGTTCATCGCGAAATATTGTCACGCACGTGAATTTACTATTCAAAACCCTGCGATCCAATAATTCATATAAAAAATTTGTTTGAAGATACTGTTATACTTTTATACTATTTTTAATGTAATGACCTGCCTAACATAAAATACAAGAGGTACAATAAAACAATCTGAAAAAAAAAATTGTATGAAGCATACATGACAAAGAACAGTTACCGGACTAAATTAAACATCTATTCCGTCTCAAATTAGGGCTCTAGTTACAACCCTAGGCATTTTGTTACATTATTTATGTATGACAGCGTAGACTTTTGATCTTGTTTTCTTGCAACATAAACCACATTTTCTACCCACTAATACAATTGCAGTAGTCACGAAAGGCGTTTTGAAAATAAACAAGGTGTTATTGTTAGGGAAATATAATTCTTCGCGCAATACACACAGAAAAAAAAATCAATGGTTTGAAACATAAAACTAGCAAAACAAGCAATCCCTTCAGCACTTATGTTTATTTTTTGTCGTCAGATGTGAGTCTGCGAATTCCGTGTCAGTACCGCAATAAAACACGGAATTCACGAGATAATTACAACTTCTAAGATCTTGACATGAACATAAACACTTAGAGAAACATCGTCGCTCTGTGTCCACCAGTTTTATTTCCTCTGAATGTCAGTTTTTTTGCTGTGATAAACGTGTTGTTATACGCCCACGTTGATAAATGACCTAGCAACACATAACAAAATGTCCGACGGTAACAAATCAAGCGATAATAAACATTGATGTATTAGTTAACATCATAACTTCACACTACATTTGATTTATGATAATATAAGTTTTTCTTCTTTTTCAGGACAAACCGATCATACCGCCAGATAGGACATTAAATCGCCGGAATAAATTGGGCCCGAGAGAGCATTTGTACATGTTAAGAATCCAATATTTGTTTAAGAGAAGAATGCTGGCAAATGAGAGAAGTGTCACTAGAGCTTTGACAGCGTCATAGCTTTGTTAACAACATAAAGTGTCTCAAAACTACAGAAATAACAGTAATTTACCTTAATACAGAAATGAATATGTACTTAAAAGGAATATGTTTACATTTGGGATTTGTTGAAAGTTGAATTGATGAATTAATGGAGATAAATACATGTGTTGTGTGTAAATGTTTTGTAAGTTTCTACATAACGCAAGCATGACTGCTATAGAAGAACTACTCTTTAGGTTATAGCTTCACGGTTTTTCTTTAGATCAGGAATGGACGTTCTGTGATTGCTTGAACATTACGAACTATCATTAGAAAATCAAAACAAATGGAGGTTACAGCAACAATGGATAATACATCCATAACGACCTCTGTGGCACCAACCGGTGGCGTAAGAATACCGATTTATTTAGACAACACGACGTACAATAATTTACAAACGCTGAGAAAGGGATATGCTGAGATACACGGATATGTAAGTGTGGTGGTTTGTTTGTTTGGTATCGTCGCGAATATTGCCAATATTGTTGTATTAAATAAGAAGAACATGAGGACATCAACAAATGTGATACTGATGTGGCTGGCGGTAGCGGACCTTTGTACAATGGTCGAATATGTTCCGTTTGCACTGCGATTCTATATATTCAAAGATCCAGATCTTGTATTTCCGGAAAATAAATCATATAGCTGGATGTGTTATTTACTGTTCCATGCCGATTTTAGTTTGACAATGCACTCTATGGCAATATGGCTGACTATTATGCTAGCTATTTTTAGATTTTTGTATGTATTTACTACAAAAGGGAGCATCTATTGCAGTATTAAACATGCCAAAATCATTATCCTGACTGTTTATATATCAGCGGTTCTAGTGTGTATTCCAAACTATATTTCAAATTTCTGGAGTAGGAGTAACAAAACTATAAACAATGAAACAGTTATGGTATATACTTTCTCACAGCGAAAGGAAGAAGACCCAGATTTTGAAACAGTATTTCGAATCAATTACTGGGTTCAGTCTATATTAATAAAACTAGTACCGTGCTTTTTATTGACGGTTTTAACAATTTTACTTATAACAGCATTACACAAGGCTCATAAGCGTCATGTACATCTGAAATCTCAGGGCATGCGCAAAGACGACGTCGAAAAACACAATGAACATTTCCGCACCACAGCCATGCTTCTGGCTGTTGTCATACTTTTTCTCATAACTGAGTTGCCGCAGGGGATATTAACGTTGTTAATGATTTTTATGGACGGCTTGCAAAATGAACTATATAATCCTCTCGGTGACATTCTAGACATAGTAGCATTGCTTAACAATGCAATCAACTTTGTTCTGTACTGCACGATGTCACAGCAGTTCAGAGACACGTTTGTCACGACGTTTTGTCGCTGTTTTACTAGGCGCAGTAACAACACTGATGACACTGTTAATAGTAATGTTTCAAAATGGGCCAAGCGACATCTTATAACAGCGAATGGTAATTCAACAAAAACGACGCAATTACAAGAAAATGGGCAAATGGTGTGACAAAACAATACGTATTGGCAATATAAATGGATATGCGCTTGACGATGCACGAGTTTTTGTTCTCCGATGATTCTGTTTTCATAGATAATACGTGCATTAACTGTCATTCACATGTAAAATATACACTCATTTCTCTTAATTGTACATATATTGCTGTATGCATACTGTACGTAGGTGTTGTTGATTACGAAGACCATGGGTTACAATACGTTTGGGCGCATGTCGAAAATGGGGAGACAATTACTTGGCCTAAATGCTGTAAATTGTGATAAATATTGAAATTATCTAGTGTCTGTTCGTAGCCGAAAGATTCATTGTCTTGTAGTGACATGGTTATCGATTAGTACAGGAGTTATTCTTATTATCTTACGACTATGTTAGCCTGTTTTGCATATTTATTATCTAAATTGTCAAGATGATTTTAGAAACATCTGAAAAATGATCGAATGACCTGACCACAGGCCTCCATATTGTAAATAATGTGATGTAAGTTGTATGTAAATACAATGCTTATTGAACACTGTAGATATTTTATAAAGGACACAATCGTTTACTGTTTGGTTTAAGTCTTAAGCAAACGCTGTAACAAACAATTCGTTACACATTATTTAGTAAAGTAAATGCGTTGAAAACGTCTAAAATAAAGATATGACATAGAATATACGTTTGTGGTTAAAATGATTTTTGTCTCGGAATTAAAACAAATAGCATCAGTTGAAATTTGCAAAGATATATTTGCAGACTCAATATTGTGCGGTTAGAGCCACTCCTGTCATTTCTCGTATAAAATAAATATATTCAGTTTAAGTTCTGAAAACGGTTCCTCTGTTGAGTATTATTATAATGTAGTCTTATCATTTTACATCAACAAGTAATTAAAAAAATTTAAAAAAAGAGAAAAAAAGTTTGCAAAAAAATAAGATGATGTAATATAAAAAGAATAGTGATAAATTTAATTAAAAGCTTCCCTAAATAAGTCAAGTATGAACCCTTGAATTAAATATATGGAACAAATCTGTATCAAAGCGTTATGATCAACATGTTCGTAGCAAATTACTTTATCCTGCATTCAAGTCACATTTTCGAGACAATTGTAATAGTTAAAACCCACAGACACGTTATTACACATTGTGGTATTATTAAAACCAACGTGTCAACGGTTTTCATATTAAAAGTATACTTTCACCGAGTATTTAAACTTAAAGTCTAGTATTTAAACTTTGTCTAAAAATATTGGTCAACTTAAACAAGTAAAGCAATGTCTATATAACAAGGACATGAACTAGTTTCATCACGACATCGATCGTCTGCTTTTCCAGATTTCCCCCCTAACACCCAGTTGTACAATAAATGACAGAGATTTGAATTAGTAAGTGAAGTATTGTCGACATCTTTATTTTGCAACTAGAAGATGGGAAATAGTACGGAATGCATGTTGATATGTGAATGTTATGAGTAGACGTTTGACAGTTTTATTTGAACAGATTTAATTTAAGCAACGGTTGTTGTAGGGAAATGACGGGTGTGATGGGAATATAGAAAACGGTAAACAGAAATATGTTTTGTTTGCTTGTCAATTTCTAGAATATTTGAAGAACTAAAGGCGATTATTGTTTCTTTTAAATCTATAATTATTTTTGTAGTTTCTACTAAAAGTTAAAACAAATTGAATATATAGACGTTTTTATTTTTACAATTTGAACTGCATAGAATTGTTTTTGCTTTGATATACATATGCGAAAATTAAAATGTTATTGTTACAGTATTGAAAGATCGCTTTTTTAGCAAGTGTAACTACTTAATCTTGTTTTTACCTTTATAAAACATTTTCATATAAGTAGATTGTAACCTTGTCATTATATAACAAAACAAATCATGCAAATAAATATTTATAATGACGTTGAATAAACACGCTAAGCAATTATTAATATATTTAAGTAATATACATGTATAAGTATGAAAGATACGCGAATGTTTAAGGTTTGAACCAAACAGCGATCATCTTGCGAAGTCTTTCGTGTGTTAATAGTTTACTGTTTGATTGTTTCTGTGATGCTTTATAGGGGTACGTTACATTGTTGTCATTGTCAAAATATAAATAAGAATTATAGTACCTACACTGACAAATTTAGGTGCAAGGTTTAGTGTCACTGTTCCCAAAATTAGAAAATCATTTATGTCTGTAAGTATTGCATTGCCAATGTGCAGTACGAATTTTGTTTAAGCATTGCCAATTTACAGTACGAATTGTGTTTGAACGTTGCAAATGTACAAAACGAATTCTGTTTAAACATTTCTATTTCTAATGTGCATTACAAATTTTGTTAAGACATTGCCAATGTACAATACGAATTATGTTTCAAATTTGCCAATGTACAATAAGAATTCTGTTTAAACATTGTCAAATAAGATTCAAATACAGTGGCAACATTGTAAATGTACTGGATATATTTCGAAAATTAGTACACATTTCCGTGTTACTTTAACAAAATAAAATACAACACATGTACGTGATACTGAGTCAATTAAAGGGGCATGTTTGGTAAGGTATTGCTATTTTACAACAGAATGTGCACAATGTTTTTTTCAAGACTTGCTATCATATTATTGCATATCTGATCATAACACATGTACATAATATGCGAAATGATTATGTTGCAACCGGAATATATTGACGTCATACATAGAACTATTTTGTTTACTTTTCAAAAATCTTAATTGTATTCCTTATTGCCTGACATTCTCGACGTATTCCCTTTTTGGATGAGGGGGGGGGGGGGGAGGGTTAAAGGCACATTATGCCTCAGAAATCCATATTTCTTAAATTCTTTAGAAATGTCAAACATCTAATTAATAATGTTTTGATAATGGACTTAAGAGTATGTCTAAAAATGTTCATTTACTGAAGAAATAGCACTGAAGGTGTAGTTATTTGTCGTAAATTTACCAAAATGAAAACAATGTAGTATTTTGGCTTCCATAAAAAATACTTTATCACCAATTGCCAAATAACAAAATCAGCAAAAGATAGTTTTTGCATATTGCAAAAGAGTATTGCTTGGAAACTGTAAAAATATACAAAAAAAATAAATTCAATTTAGTTTTTGAGAAAATAAAAATGATAGCATTTCTGGGGCATAATGGGCCTTTAAAAATACTTGTGCGGATACTAAATAACTGTTTTAATCTATTTTTGAGTTTTAAACGGTATGAAATTTCGACAATTCCTAATATTTTTTTCATATGAATTTTAACTGTTTCTGTGTACGTCATCTACCTAAATTAATCTAGTATCTACTAACATTTTGTTTTAGAAATATTGAATTGTTATTGATTTTGATAAGATTAAGAAAAATGACTTTACACACAGTAAGTTCATCGGTACGCTAGTAAGTGAATTATTTATTAATGTTGTAGTATGTGATACATTTGTCTTAAACGGTGTAAAAAGCCATATCTGCTGGACCAGTGTGTCACTGACGTTACGTGTAACGTAATTATAATGATTTAATAATTTAATATGTTTAAATTGAACTTCGAAACAAATATTTTGTTTCCACCAGAAACTAGGTACATGATTTACATACTGGTTGGAGAGATAACTCAGACGCATAGATAACCCCGACATAAATATAATTGTTATAACTTTGTTTTTCAACAAACAAGCACATGATCACCTAATAGTATAGGAGCAGGACAGAATGTGATGATTATTTATTATTTGGTAATCTTTTTAATGTTTTTTCAAATAACCTTAACTTTTTGTAGGCAAAAACTGCTTCAAAACGTACTTTTTACTAAATTACAATGACGAAGTTAGAATGATATTGACCACAGGCCACTGACTAGGGAAATATTGTTGAAAAACTGTTTATATATTAACAAAAAAATAGATAAAACAAAACATATAAGATGTAAAAATAAATTATTGGTGCTGATTTTCCAGTAATTTTTTACTTAAAAATTTAAGTGTTGACTTCATCTACTGTTGTGGGGTAAAATGACCATGTTTTGTATACCTCATTCAGGACCTTAAAAAAAGTACCAGATTCCATTTTCATACATATGTTTTGTTGTTTAAAGTACAGTCTTTGAACTGAACTTTGTTTAGGTGGTTCAATATTAAAAATGCACAGGAAAATAATTAAAATACTGCAAAAAAATATGTGATTTAGTGTCGGAGTTATCTCTTCAACCAGTAATTACACAAACGTTATAAATATGTTCAGCCCATAGTATATAGAAATCACATATATGAATTATTTTTCAAAGTGTACAGTGATTGTACATGTGCATAATATTTATATTAACGCTTTGATCAGAATAACAAATCGGAGTCAATGTTTTACATACACAGCTTTCAAAATGTATTTAAATATCAGAGGTATAATTTTAGATAAATGAGCCGCGTCATGACAAAACCAACGCAATGCGTTTACGACCAGCATGGATCCAGACCAGCCTGCGCATCCGCGCAGTGTGATCAGGATCCATGCTGTTCGCTTACAAACCCTATTACAAGTAGAGGAACTGATAGCGAACAGCATTGATCTTGATCAGACTGCGCGAAGGCGCAGGCTGGTCTGGATCCATGCTGGTCGCAAACCCACTATGTTGGTTTTGTCGTGACGCGGCTAAAATATAAGCACTTGTAGATTATGAACTGTCTAATGATGAATATGAGACGACGTGTTATACATCAAGGGGAAGAAGTCATGTTGAAATGTAGTAAATTGTTCATTTTTGTAATGTTTCATAGAGATTAGATATTTTAAAATCAAAGAATTGTGGCATTGAAATATTTGGTAAAGTGAATGGAAACTGAATTTAAATATATGTGTAGAGGTGATAGAAAAGAAGCACATTATTAAAATTGTGGATTGTTTCAACATGTACATAATTAAATCTGACCATAACAATGTTTATAATTGAATATATTCGAGTTTTTGTAGTATTTTAAATTTGTTTTGCATCTTCTTGTAAGGTAAGGCGAAATGTACGGTCAGTTAAATTTACTTATGATATTTTAAATCTTTTCTCTTTCAGAACAATGAATTTTGTTTTAAAAGAATGGCAAGAAAATGTTTGAACTATTTAAAGATTTATCAAGAGTACATGTACGCACCTATGTAATGGAAACAAATACCATGTTCTCAAAAGAAATTTAATATGACATTTAAGCAGAATAGGATGAATGTTACACTTTACGAGTATGTAACGCTCATTTAGTGCAATTTTAGATTTTAGTGATAATTTCTTTATTCAAGAAATATTCGTGTGACTTAACTGTGATTACCGTAAAAATTGCTTAAATTGTGTATATACTTGTTTTTATTTTCTGTTGAATTGTTATTGTTAGCACTGTTTATTTGATCATGCAAATATAGTAATAATAATGGTAAAAATGAGCCGAGTCACGAAAAAACCAACATAATGGGATGCGCAGGCTGGTCTGGATCCATGCTGGTCGCAAGCCCATTATGTTGGTTTTGTCGTGACGCGGCTCAAATAGTAATAATACTGATAATAATGATAATCATAGTTATAATAATGATACAAATAGTTATAATTATGATAATAATTAATATAATTAAGATAATATTAATACTTATATACAATAATGATAATTATAGTTATATTAATGATAGAAATAGTATTAATTATAGATGATAATGAACGATATGAAATTCATCAATTATTGTACAATTATTTTAATGATACTTTATAATACTTTTTGAGGGGGTTGGGCATAAAAAATGTCAGTTCTTATACGTTTTTGCGAAAACTAGTTTCGAAAGTATTGTGTTCATTATACGATTTTTAGATACTAGTTTCGATATTATTGTGTTCACT